ATTGCCGAGTCAAGTGAGAATTCCGCTGCAAGTGAAGCTCGGTCGAGGAAGAAAGAACCTCGCCTAAGGTTCGACGAAGCCACAAAGGGGCGCGAAAAGTGGATTGGAGCTAGAGTTCCTCGTAAGGCTGGCCATGGTCGAGCTTAGATCATGGCGCCGCACGGTTGAAAAATGTACGACCGTGACACTAGCCACCCACTAGTACCCATGCACGTGTCTCACTTCATGCTCGACCACAACTGCCTCTGCATGGATGCACACCCTCCTACGTGCTCCCGCCTCCGCTAGCTGTATTCATCACCCTTGCATGTGAGCATACACTCGTACATTCGCTAGCATGTTGTGAGGCTTGATTGAGCACCATGTCTAAGCACCCTCTTACGTCTAGTGTTGCAACGTGCACTGCTCCTGCCTGTTGCGTCATGTGACTTGGCTCCCAGTGATTTCAAGGCGCTCACCTATGGCGAGCGAGGGGCAAGGTGTTTTGGCCTGGGCACGCCACGAATGGCGTTGAGGCAAGCACCTTCAATAAGGCGCTTGCCTTTGTGTGCCTTTCCTCGCCTTAAGGCGAGGCGAGCACCTCTTTGAAGTGAGGTTATTTTTATTTTTTTAAAAATTAATTAGTTAAAAACTTGACAACCCACAGAAACCCTAAAAAGGTGCAAAACCCACACACGAGTCGCACGATAGCTGTGAAATATATCGCCTCCCTCTTGGATAGAAGGGTTTACGATCCCCTCAACCATTCTTGTCTCCTCTCCCACTTTTAGGGAAGCCTGATCTAGCAGGTTTGTTCCTTCCCATCGTTGGTTTCTTTTTTTGGTCTTGGGATTGATCATTGCTAAGATCAAACAGGTGTTCGGCTCCTAAATAGGCATTACTGAGGTCTTGCATTCTATATTCATATAACTTGGATTTAGCCCACGACTTTTAAGCCTTCGACAAAACAGAGAACTTTATCTTTCTCTAACAAGACTAACATGTCCCGAATGTCCAACATTAGTCTAGAGCATTGTTTCACGTAATCCCTAATGTTCCCAATGTGTTTCAACTCATGCAATTTACATCTTGCCAAGATTTCAATGTTTTCTGGAAAGAATTGTGATCTAAGTCCTTTCTTCAATTCGTCCGCCGTTTTGATGGTGAATCTTGGATGTCCATGTATCTGGACCTCCACCACAGCTTGACGTCTTCAGACATATGCATGGTTGCCAAAGTGATCTTGGCTTCTTCTATTGTCGTGCTTGTAGCTTGAAAACATTGTTCTACATCGAAGATGAAGTTCTTGAGGGCCGTGGCATCACGGACCTCACAGAAGGGTTTAGGCTCAGGAATCTTCACCTTGTTGTACTAGATGTTACCCCCTACTGAGGCTTGATTTCCCACCACTCTCATGGTGAGATTTACCTTGGTGTTCATCTCAGCAATTTTCGCTCTCATAATTTCTATGGCACTTGAAAGTCATCGGAAAGTTCGCTAACAATATGAGTGATTACCTTTTGGGAGCTGTCTAACTCTTTGACTCACTCCATACGAGCAATAGAGCTCGTCTAGCTAGTAGCTATCACCATGCTCGAAGCTGTTCATTCTAATAGCTTTACTCTCTAGGGTCTCAAACCTCAACATCAACTCTTGCACCGGCAATGCATTTGTTCGAACATTTGCCGTGTGAATTCCATCAACTTTTCTGGCAAATTCTTCCCGCTGATTTTTTTAGGAATCTAATACTGTTAGGGACTCCCCTCAAATACATCGTTATTCATCGATTTTTACAAGTCGGTCGACATGCAACTTATTCATCTATACCAACTGTCACAATCGTAACTTCGGCAAAGCCCACAATGCAATTGTGCGGCACTTGCTCCTGCTCACAACCAAGTCAGCCAACTGAAAGTGCCACAACCAATAGCACAATGGGTCTATCTTGCAACCTCTGGCCACATTTTGAGAAAAACAATTATAGAAAATGTGGATGGAGAAATATTTGGAAAAGCATTTGAAAGCATTTCAGAAAGCTTTGTTGTAGGCTCCAAAGCAAAAAAATAAACCGCAAGCATACAACTCAAGGTACAAAGGTGACTAGGTATACCCCTATAGTACACTATAAAAAATTTTGCCTTTGGCAGCCGTGAACATGAGAAGTGGAAAGGAGTCCCTCGCCACCAAAATTATAATTAAAATAAATAAATAAACAAGTAAAGCTTTAAAGGAAATATGAAAGCATGTGAGAAGAGGTGTGACGTGTTGAGTTAGGTAGGAAAACGGGGGTGTTCCCCATACATCGTGTGCAAGGTTGTCAGTTATTGAAAAAAGAGCTGCAAGGTTTGGGTTCAACATGAATTCTACTATGCATGCTGCATTTACGTAGACTAGGTGGTTTTGTATAGAATTCACTGGAGCTTGTGTTTCAAAATGATATGTAACTATCACATGGATCATTTTCATAATGATCGTCACATCCCTATTATTCTTATTTCACTGTGTGCATGAAAAATACGCTGTTAATTCCATTGGTAAAATAATGGATGGTTACTATTAAAAGATACACACACACATCTATGGATGGTTAGAACTTAGAATGGGGTAAAAACATCCATGGTTCTTTATGTCAAGTAGTTTATTTTCGAGGGGATTGTGATGACTGAGAATAATTTGTCTGGGTTATGTAGTTTAATTGGTTATTCTGTTTCCCTTTTTCTTTTTTCCATTTCACTGTTTTGTAAGGCTATATAAGGCTAAGAGAGGCAATGTAGGACAATTAGAGTTCGATATTGAAATATAGTTCTTTGTCTTCATCATGCGAATAAATATCTAAGGTTGGCAGCGTACAGCAATCATTTTTTAATTCCATGATCAGTATCATCTGAAACAATAGTGAACTAGAATTTCTCCTATGAAAGTCCGAGAGTTTTCTCCCTTTTGTTCAGGCATGGAGTTAGCACTCACGGGGGATGCATAAATTAATAATTACTGAACTCAAAGCTATTTAAATGATTAATGATAATACTTCTATTTCACAATGTTATTGTTCTGCTCTTTTTCTCTTGGTGTTTATGTCCTGTTCTACTTCTTTTGATTGTGTATTATATGTTGTATTTAGTAAATTGGTTAATAATTTTGCAGGTATGAGGGCCTTTCAGAAAAATTTCTTTCATGTCCAGTTCCAAAGCTTCTGCTTCTAGCAGGGACTGACAGATTGGACAGGTTATTAAGCACACCATAACCCTAAAGTTTTTCTATTATAGTACTCACCCATCATGGCATGACATTATACTTGTATATTTTTTTTTTGTTTCTGAAGTTGATTTTGTTTGGAAGAATAACAAGTTTTATGCTTGAGGAGGTTCCAATTAAATTTTAAGGAATTATCAATATTATTTTTTAATTTATATCTTTTTTTATGTTGGATTCGAAACAAAGCTACACACTCCACGGGAAAGGATGTACAACAAAGGAACGTGGAGGCAGAAATAAGGCCTTTAACTTGCCATCAAAAAAATTAGGCGTAAAGGTGATACTTGGGCAGGTTAGATAAAACTTCTTAAATGTGAGTAACTCTACCCTCTTAGGACAATGGCCCCAACTCTTAACTTTATCAATCTACTTCAATCTTTTGAATCACCAATTCACCGGAGTTCAAAAGGAAAAGACTTAGGGTTATCTCCAAGAGGCCATCCTAAACAAGACAGAGGGAAGGAATATCTTGCAACCTCACAGATGAAGCGCTAGTATCCTCAAATTGAAATTGATACCTGCCACCACTCATTGTGAGGTAAATTTTAAGACCCATGAATGAGTTAAGGATTTTCTACCATCGAAAGGAGGAGGCCTAAGAAGCACGGAATGGTGTTTTAGCAAACACAGTAAGAAGGACTGGAGGAGGTGATTCTAGGGTATGGAGGATGGGTGAGAGTTTGTGACTTACCTCTTGAATTATGTAATAAGCAACGTTTCAAGGCTATTGGATCTCATCTTGGAGGTTTGAAGAGCATCGCATCAAAAACCCTTAATTTATTAGATTGTTCAGAAGCTTGGATTCATGTAGAATAAATTTTTTGTGGGTTTCTACCTGCCTCGATCGAGATAACTTCCCCTTCTTTGGGTTCCTTTTCAAGTTCGTGTTTTCGATTCTGTAGAGACTAAGGTTGGAGAAAATCCAATGTGATGTATTCTCATTATTAAAGTCTATATATATAGACAAATATACAAGATTAACCTAATCCTATAAAGGACAAATTAATATTAATACAAGAATATAAAATATACTAATATATACTCTAACACTCCCCCTAAAGTTGGTGCATATATGTTAATCATGCCCAACTTGTTAGACAAATAATCTATTCGTGCTCCATTCAATATTGCAAAAAAAGACGAACATTGATTTTCCACGAAGAATAGTTTGATCCATTCAATTTGTGTTCTGTGATTTTTGATATCATTGGGATCACCTCAGAAGTTACGATTGATTTTCTTCTCCGCCATAACAAACAAACGAACTTATTTGAACAAAACGACAGAACCAGACCAAACCACTCGAACCAAACAAAACAGATGAATCAAACGGTTGGAACCAAACCGGATTAGTTGTTTTCTGAAACCAGAAATCCCAAGTGCTACCCCACGACAACCAGAGGGGCGAAGGCGACGGGTGGCGACTGGCGGTGACGAAAGCACACGGCGACGGCGTTTGACGGCGAGACGAAACCTACAAACAGCAATCGCAAAACAGCTGGCAAATCAACAAACGGCAGCGGCGGCGGCGGTGATCGGCGGCGGAGGCGGTGGTCGACGGCGGTCGGCAGTGAGTTGTGTTGAATAGCAATGAACAAAACCCTAAGGCACAAAACCCTAAGTCACAAAACCCTAATGGGCACAAAACCCTAATGGGCATCAAAACCCTAATGGGCACAAAACCCCTTATGGGTATCAAAACCCTAATGGGCACAAAACCCCTGATGGGCACAAAACCCTAATGGAAGAAACCTAGAGCTCTGATATCATGTAGAGACTAAGGTTGGAGAGAATCCAATGTGATGTATTCTCATTATTAAAGTCTATATATATAGACAAATATACAAGATTGACCTAATCCTATGGAGAAGGTAAAGGACAAATTAATATTAATACAAGAATATAAAATATACTAATATATACTCTAACAAATTCGAATAAAGATGCAAGCGGCTTTGATATGAGATTTCTACAACTTTTCCTTCGCATGATAAGTTTTTGAATTTGGCAAAGGAGCCTATTCAAATTCATCATCCCATTAAATCCAATTTTGGAAAACGCTATTAATGAAGAAAGAGAAAGGGTTGAGAAGGGCACCAGTCTCTCATTTTACGGTTCCTCCGGATGGTAATCAAATTCAAACACCCCTTTTTCACAGCATCATTAACTCAACCAATGAAGTGGCAAAGAAAAGTTACGAGATTTCTACCAATTCGGATGATGAGGACGATTGAAACCTCAAAATAAGTAGTCAAGATTCACCATCTTTTTTAGAAAATCAGGAATATATCTAGGAAGATTTTTCGAAATATTCTTCCTGAAGGAATTCAATTCTCTCTTTAAGGATGGTCATTCTCCCTCCTCGAAGGTTTCCGTTTGCAGCCTAGAGAAGAAAGTGTCTTGCAAAGAAGCTGGCTTGATTAACAATGAGGCTGTTTTGTGCTCTGAAGATCAAGGTTTTCGGTCTTATTTGAAGTTCTTATGTTCTGGTAGAGGTGCAGTTCGGTTTCCTGGTTCTCAAGATCTAGTTTTCAGAAAAGTTTTTAATTTGCATAACTTTTTCATGACCCTTGCTGTAAGGTTTTCTCGGAGAGACTACTGTGATACTTAGAAGTGGAAGATTTGAGTCTTTTAAGCACGTTTTGAAGAGCAGTTTATTTGGTGCAATGGTTTTCGTGCTTCGCTGTTTTTGGTTCTGGAAAGTCCTGGCCATTGATGTTTATTGGTTCTGTTGGCTTGAAGGTGGAGACTTTTGTCAAGTTTTTTCCTTGTCATCAAGTGATTCTTTCTCGTTGCTTTGGGTTTTGGTTCAGTTTTGTTCTCTCCAGTCTCTCAAGCTGCGGCTTGACAGTTGTTTTGGTTACTTGGTGGGCATTCTTCTTTGTTCTTGATTATTATGTAGCTGGAAGATTTAAAGACCTCTATTTTTTCAGTTATTGTTCTTTCTTTGGTTTTCGTCTCTTTGGTGCTGTTTGATAGCTTGTAGTTGTTGGTCTATGTCTTTGTTTCTCTGCCTCGTGGTGTTTACTTCTTTTCTTTTCTTTTCGCTTAGACGCTTTCTTTGGGAAGCTTGTGTCTTTGAACATTATTCTTCTTTTTCATATTTTTAATGAAAAGTTTGTTTATTGTTAAAAACAATGTGAACGTCAATTTTACGTGTGCTTCTTTGTTTTAATTACTTTCACTTGAGATGTGTTCTGTAGAAGAAAATTTTGAAAACTTGAAGTAGCTATCCTCAGAAATTGTTTCATGTTTTATGACAGAACACTCACAATTGGTCAAATGCAAGGGAAGTTTCAGATGGTGGTCGTCAGACATACTGGGCATGCTATCCAGGTTCCTCTTTAGTCTTTGCTACAACATGACAATTTTCTTTTTCCATCTTGCTAGTATGTTTTGAGTTATAATTAGGGGAAGTTGCAAATATAAGCAAAATCATTTAGTGAAATTAGCAAAAGAGCAACCACGTTTAGTTTTTCAAATATAGCATTTAAAAAAAACGGAGGTCCAATTTTAAAATATAACTAACTTTACCCAAATATACATCTGAAATATAGTAAACTGCTGATATGTGTACGTGATATACATCTTATATGAGTGTATGATATCCTCACGATATATATGTGATATACCTCTGATATACTAGTGATATGAGCGTCTATGCAATATGTATAATATGTATAATATGTATGTGATTTACATCTAATATACTACTAATATTACTACCAATATGAGTATCTAATATGCTATTGATATAAGTGAAAATTTTAAAAATAGGTGACATATTTTGAAATATATAAAAGATTTTTGCTACCCACTACAATTTCCCTTATAATTATTGTTTGAACCGCGCAGGAAGATAACCCCGATGAGTTTTCGAATCTGATACTAAATTTTGTTTCTCGCAACCGGATAGGTCCACATGGGGTTGAGGTTGGTATCAAATTCGTCTTACGTTTAATGCAGCAGCAATTTTATTGTGAGACATTAGATCTTTTTAGTCCCTGGTTATTATAATTTTTTCCATCCTATACATCAATTTAGTGGGGGATAAGATGGAGGGAAAAGTGAAGGCTTCGTCCTGTACATAACAGTTTTCTTATGTTCTACTATCTCACGAGTCAACCTCATGACGTGAACTTTATGTTGCAGATACCGGGGCTTCGCAAACCACAGCAGTAGCAACCTCTAGATGGACACTTCAGCATAGAAAAAGATCATTTGCAGTTTCTCCTCCGGGTTTGATTTCTCCGAATAATTTCTTTATAGAAGGTTCTTTTCAAGTAAGATTTACCGAAAATTGAAGAGATTTTCTTCACTCTGCAGCATAGAAACTGAGCCAGATGATGAATAAACGTATTCCAAACATGGTGGTCACTTCAGTATTCCAAAATCTGCAAAGACATTTCTTAAAGCATCATCCATCCAACTCGTAAGAACTGATATGGATTGAAGCGATCAGAATTGCTTTTCTCAACTCGTGTGAACAATGATGGTATTGATAGTTCTTTACGAGGTCAGATGATTTGGTTATGCCCAAAGGACTGTAAATGAGATCATATCAAAGTAAAATAACAGCTATTAGTTACTGTCGAAAATGCAACCGAGGCATTTTTTCATGAATTCTTCTCCAGGTTAACTTATCTTACCACTTCGTATGAATTCATAATCCCTTAATATTCCGCGACATATCTGTTGATATAGCTATAAATTTGAGTCATGGATACTAATAATGGAGTTTAAGCTTCTTTTCTATCTCCCAAAAATAGTTTACATATCATAGAATCAATATGATGCACTATACTTCATCTATACTATAACCTCAAAAAGTAAGTCATACTGGTTTTTGAACTTGAATTTACAAAATAGTTCTGTTTGGTTTTTGTGTTTCCTTTCTTTTTGACTAGTTGCATGATTAGATATTTTCCTTCATTAAATGATGGTGTCAATTAATATATTTCTTCGTGGGAGGGAGATTTGAATTTTGGCTTTTTTAATTGATAATATATATTTTAACTAGTTTAGCCATCCTTAATTGTTTAATCTCTCATGAAAAGGAACAAATCGGAAAGATTTTCTCTATCAATGCTCTCACTATTTAGTGGCACCCTCCTCCCTCCAGTCTCCCGCCGCTCTCCAGTCACGCCCTCTCCCTCACTGTTGAACCCTATAGATGCTCTCGCATCCTTGACACGTTCGAATTGATGTCGAGTTAGTCCCCTTTCTCGTGCAAGTCCTTTGCCAATTGACCTATTTAGGATACGCTACGTATGCAAGATATATAGATGACTTCTGTCAAACTGCTATTTTGCAAAACCATTTATATTCTTTAATTTTTCCCAATCAACATTCAATTTTTATAATTTAAGGAAAAAAATCTCTACTACAGATATGGCATTTGACTTCCCCAACCCAACTCACTTGCACAGACAGCAAGGAATTTAACAAACAAAACAATACAGTGTCAAATCAATTTGAACTGTGAAATTGACCATCATGGCCAAGTCTTAAACAACAGCATGAAAAATAAATAGATTAGACTAACATTAAAAATACAAACAAGTTTGAAATATTCATCTTTCCAATTCCATCTATGATTAAATTTGAGAAATTTCACGGGAAAAATTAACATCCCTCGTTGAATGAACAAGATTGAGCAATCAAAGTGCATCTTCAGGTAACAAAACTCTAAAAACAGCATAGTGATGGTTCAAGCTCTTTTGACCTTGTAATCTGCGAACACTGCCCAATGCCCCATCACTAGGATTCGGGAATGCAAAAAACACGCGCCTAACTCGCTGGTGAATGAGCGCCATGGCACACCTTTAACGAAGAAAGCCAGGCAAGATCATTAGAACAAGAGAAGCAACATGGAAGCTTATGATAAAATCATTTCAATTAAGATTTTGCAGTAGAAAAAATTTCTTCTAAACCACCATGAGTTGGCTAAAATATTATAAGCAAATAAAACCAACTGCATATGAACATTTTGTATAATAATTTAGCCTCCAAGAATGTACAACCTTGAATTAAATCTAAGCATATAAAAAAAACATAGAAGCTAAATGTGAGGAAGATGATGTTAAAATAAATAACTAAACAAGGATCAAAGACAATGGTGGGGGGAAGGGGAAAGTAGGCATTTTGAGAACTTACATAATACATGGCTCCCACACAAGATAAATGTCATAACCAGTGCACAAGTAAGGTCTGCCTGATTTTGAATCTATGCCCTCAATATCAGTACCTCGTTTCTCCTCCTCACTTTTGGCCTGTACACCACAACATCATAATCTTCACTTATATATACTTGAATTTATCAAACAGAAACACATTTTGATTTGAAACTTGAAACCAAAAATTGATATGATATCGAAAACCAATTGTTACTTTCATACGTTATATGAGATACTCGAGATACTTCATGATTGAATGCGAGCCCAAATATCAGCAAGATAAGATTGACAATATTGCATTTCTAACATTATTAAACACTGAATGATATATGAAGTTCAAATCAAGTTGAATTCGAAACATACGCCATGAATCTATCTCGCCCCTCCCTCACCCATTTGCTTGCCTCCCAAACAGATTTTGATCACTTTTCGATCCAATAACTTTCAGAAACAAAGTCCTGAAACTTTTAATGGTTTTGCCTTTAACCTTTCTTTTCAAATATTCTATTTTATCCCCAAACTTCACTTACAAAGCTATTTTAGCCCTTACCATTAATATTTCATTAGTTATTTAACAAGACCCTAAATCTATTTGGAAACCCAGTACACCTAACCTAGCTTCATGCAACTTCAAAGACTTGTTTATGCAAGTATATCTAGTTGTCAAGTAAATCAATTAAAGATGTGCTTATGGCAAGTTTCTATTCAATAATATACTAAAAAATTAATGATAAAGACTCAATTATATATGCTGCATTGCCTGAAAAAGGGTAGGCTGCTAAAAACTGGAGCTTAACAAGCCAAATGCTTAGTTTTCTCTTCTTTCCTTCTGACTTCTCGTGGTACTGACTCCTATGTTCTCTCATTTTTGTCTCATGTAAGAATGTTAGATCCTAATTTATTCTTTATGATTAATTCAAAAAAGTTTTCAATTACTAATATGAATAGCTTACATTATCAAGATCAGTCTTCTGTCTTTTCGCTAGGTTGGTAGGAGGCCCCATAGGCTCCATTTCAATAGATTTGTCACCAACGGTTCCAGAAGTCGGGAATAGGCGCCTATCCCGGGCTGCAGAAGATTCAATAGCTGCAATAGCTGCATGCCTTAGAGGGTGCCAAGAACAAGAATTTGATGAATGTTGCAACTGTTGCTCAACCCATCGCCATGGATACAAACACGAAACGTTAGAACATGATTGTTTCAGTACTTTCAGAGAGGCACTCGAGGGCAAAGTTTCATGGATAGTGGCTCCATTGGAATCAGCATGAGAACCAATAGATTCTAACCGCTTTTTGAAGCCTGTTTCCCCGCTGGCATTGCTCATGGCATTCTCCGAGAAAATATGATGATCACAAGCAGTTGCAATTACTTGCTTATCTGAAGGATCTATTATTACCGCAGCATTTACCACCTGCAGAATTTGAATAGAAAATATAAACAATAATTACCTTCCCAGAAAGACAGACAACACCAAGAATTCATCGGCCATATAGCATAGGTATCCCTTACTTTAAACCTACATATATTTAAGAGAGATGACTACTTTTTTCTTTAAATATAGAGTCTTCCAGATGATAAATTAGACTAGGTAAAGGAAACAACTGCTCTATTTTCGCTCAACAGATGATCTAAAGCAGGTCAAACAAACTAAAAGCAGAAGTTCCAGAATTCCAGAACACTAAATTCACTAACTTACCTTATACTCTCAGGGTAAAGCAAAGTTACAGTACTAGGCTAGTCTAAATGTTGAAAAGAGTGGAAACATGACATCACAATTTTCATGCAAAATGTTGCCTCTAAATTCTAGAGGCCATAGCTAAACTAAAGCATCTGAAGGAACCTGGGAAATCAAAAGAGATCAAAATTTGTAGTTGATAACAAAATTAGAGAAGCTAAACTAGAAAATCAAAGCTAATTTTAATAACCAATACAGGATAAATCCAGATTGAACTAGGATTGGCTATAGTAGAGGGAAAACCAAAGTACATTAACCAACCGTTTTATGAGATGACTGTGCTAATTCTATTGCTAGTCGCATCAAGCCAAAAACTGATTGTGTCTCCTCTTCGTTAAATCCGGTGATACCATCGATGTTGCTGACATTGAGAAAGAGATAATAGAGAAAGTAAGTTCCAGCTGGAAGAATTGAAACTTACCTGTAAGGTACATAAAAGAAAATTATATATCTTTTCTAGAAGAAAGAGATTCTAAACCAACAAGTTGTCAGAATGACTAGATCAACCACAGTAACGATATAGCAGAATTGTTGAAACTGCATTAAAACTACCTAACATTTAATTGAAAAAAATGGAAATAATATCAGAGAGTTTACTATGTGGGTGGATGATATGATGTTGGCCAAAGCTTGCACTGCTCTTCCCATTCTTCTTTTGTTGATGCTGCTTCCTTACAAACCTGGATCACACAATCTAAAGGTAAAATATACCTCTGTTTACTGATAATATCAAGACAAATAAATAGGAGATTCCAAAAGATGGAAAGTCCTCAAGAATGAATTCAATACCAAATAGAACAAATAGCAGTCAACTGGATAACATACAAGAATAAATCTTATCCTGTGGACACCACCACCATTTCATTCCAAATCTTATCCTGAAGCATTGAACAATTCTCACGCATACATAAAAACAATGAATCAAAATCACGCAAACTAAAAATAATTTAAGTTTAAAATGATGATGATGATACTGGAAAAAGTCATTTTTTACCCATATTCTTTGCTCAACAAGTCAATTTTGTCATCAAACTTTCAAATGAATCAAATTAAACCCTAAACTTGAATTGGTGGTGAATTTAATACTTTCAATTAATTAAATGCCTATTTTTTAAAGTATGAGCAATCTAATCCCTGGCGTGTTTAGGTGAAGTAATGGCTTCCTATAGTCATATTAAGGAATGTACAAAATATCAATTGCAAACCACCAAAACACACCGTCAATGATATTTGTATTATCATAAAAAATTACAAGTACTGAAGCCTTACATCTGCTCAAGTTAATTGCTCCCCACATTTCAAACCTATGAAGTTTCGTGACCAATTATAGAGTCGAGTCTGAGACTAACACTTGCTTAACCATTCGAACCTCATCTAGTCAACCCCATCTCCATTAAAACCATTTCTAGAACATGGGCAAATCTAGGCAAAACCTAAGAAAAGAAATTATTTGCCCATATAGAAGTGTAAGGGCAATACAATAGAAAATATCAAAGTTCTCCACAATTTTACACAAGATGAATCCTAAGGTAAAAAGAAAAGATTGGCATTTTCTTTCAAAGCTCATTTGAACTAATGATCAAACCACCAACAAACCATAAAAGGTACTGAATCAAGCAGGCACTTCAACTTTCACAAGAGCTTGAGAGGAGTTATAGGCGCACAAAGAAATATTTATAAATCAAGACACTGAATGCTAGTTTTTGGATGTTCTGAATTCGTGTGATTGATGTACTTTAATTATTATGAAATAGAATTTAATTAATGAACATTTCAATCAATAGGAGAATGCACCTTCGTGATAAAGGCACTCAACTGGTATGAAGTCACAAGCTCTTGTACATCTGAAGGCATGTCATCCAAATTGCAGTTGTTTTCACGTGCAAGACATAGGATCAATGCTATTTGAGTCTTTCCTGTAAAAACCTAATGATCAACAACTGTTTCGAGGCAGAGACTAAGACCTATTCCTCTAACCTTATTAGAATACATAATAAAGTCAGCTTTAAACCCATGTAGAAATGATTGCGTGATGAAACTAAAACTTGAAAATAAAGGTAGGGAAAAAAACCATAAAAGAAAATTATTACAGAAGAGAGAAATAGAGAAGGCATCCATACTCTAACCTCAGAAGATGATAAAAAGACATAAGAAAAAGGCATCAAATACTTAAGTTCGTTGAAATTATTAAAAGCATTTAGAATTTTTAAAAGCAATCCTAAACAGAGTCTAGGTTTGACCAGGTTTAGTGAAAAGGAAGGTTCAATTCAATCTTCAAGAAAAAAAAGTTGATATAATCATATAAATTAAACATGAACCTTGTAGCTATAGCTAATAAATATACAAGTAGCCAAGCAAGTGGCCATTGCAAACTTGCAATAACAATAAAATAATTGGTGGCAAGCTAATAGAAACTCAGTAACTATACAAACAAACAAAATATTGAAAAGAAAAAGTTATTGTGACAACTATTTAAAAGAAAAAGAGAGAGTGAGAAACAGATTTAGTTTCACTGATACTTGTTAGGGCATGAATGTATGCTATAACATCTCATTTCTTGGCTCTCTAGGTTCTCTGTGTTACCATTTTTTATCTCATATACACTTTAAAGCTGAAATTTCAGTCTCTGATTTATCGCTAGATTAAGAGAACAGAAATCGATCAAATACATTTTCTAAAAATTTTAACACAACACTGACAAAGATAACTTCATCGCAATTATTCAGTGAGATAGGGTACAAAATTTTTTTGCAATAAATCTAGATGCATACCATCTTCAAGGTGCTTCTTCTGAACTCTCTTCACATGGCGGAGGTTTTCCAATGGCGCTATCTGATTTAAACGCCTACCAAGACAATTTTAGGTCTTTCAGAAATAAGGTGTCAACTATAAAATTATACATAGCTTTCTCCATAAATTTCATGTAATGGAACATATTTTCCATTTTACACCTTTCCTTAAAGAAATATTTTAAGAAAATAAAACTTAAAATAAACCCAGTTAACCCTACTGCAAAACTTGCATTTCAAGCAAAAATAATGAGTCCAGTTCAAATTTGTCATCATTGAGAACGCTTCATCTTATTTCATTGAAGAACAATTAAAAAACCTCAGGTAGAAAAGATTAAATCAGGAAACCGGATAAGTATGGTAACAGCTAACCTTACAAGATTGTTAATTAATTTGGGCTCGACCACAGCAGCAAAGACATTAACTACAATTACAAAGAAAGACAACTGCTGAGACAGTATAAGGATTTTTCAGAGGAAACAAGAGGATTTCATAATAAAAATTTAGATCACCAGTGGGTTGTTGGCCAGGTGGAATTGGCAGCTTATCCGGGATGTAGATGATTTGGCACATAGCGTATGCTTGTTAATCCAGATTCCTAGATGAGAACAAATGAGCTAGTATTCTTAACGACTGAAATACTAAAAATTAAAAAAGGTAAGGAAGACGAAATTGATAAAATATTATAAGATCAGACATGTAAATAGAGAAAAAAAGGATCGAAACACCGAACGAGCTGTCTGCATTTCTTCATACTTCATAGCTTCAAAACTTCTAATCTCAAACCAAAAAGGCACTAAAAAGAGCTGATAAACTAGTTTGAATCTCACCTAACTGTTCTGGTGGGATTTCTGTATATTTAAAGCATTAGACAACCCTCAGAAGGGGTACTCGTTGAGCTCAAGCTCATTTGGCTGCAAGTGAAAGAAATAAAGGAGAACTGATAAAAAATCAAAAGAACCGCATCTCGAACCCTCAGAAGACGGGACAAGTTGAAGCAAGCAATATACTCCAAGATGTTGATTCTCTTTGGGATCAGCGGCTATACAGAGCTTGGTTCTTCTTGCTCACTATGTCCAAAGAAGGTGGGTACACTTAGAAGCTCTCCCTCACTCCTCGAGGAAAAGTTCATTTGCTCTAAAATAAAATAAAAACACACACAGAAGATGTTAAAGCTGATGGACTTTGCTAAATTTAATCTTATACATATACCTCAACAGTTAACATTTTTCCTTCACTCGTGGGCTTGAAAATTTGCATCCAACAAGTACCAATAAATATTAAATAGAGTGAAAATGACATTACTGAATTGGATGCTTTGGTACCATGTTAAATTACCGATCAGCAAAAAAACTTAAGCTGATAGTTTATGAGTAAATTTAATCTTTTGTAATACCTTAACAGTAGAAAAACTGGAACAAAAACAACCTTTTTAAGAAAACATGTTCCACTGCATTATTGTTCTATAAAACAGAAAACTCTTTGGATAACAAATCAAACAAGGCTCAAATGCTGCAACAACTAGAACCCATGAACATAAATGAAGAATTGTTTATAACAAAAGTACCTTGTGCAATTCGATAAAGGTCCTCACGGCTCTGGCCTTCATCTGCAGACGGATTCTGGGTGCGGAATGAAGTTGCGGGAACCTGAGAGGGAAAGGAGAGAAATTTGTTTGGAGTGAGAGTGAGGCGGTGGCGGTTGATGGATGGAGAGAGCGGGAAAAGGGAGACACAAGGAGAATTTGGCGGCCGAAAAAGAGAGATTTTTGCTGGGAGAAAAATGGGAGAAAAAGAGAGATTTTTGCTGGGAGAATCGGTCAGGCTTCTCGTTAGGGTCAGCCAACGGGAAATTCCCCCATTTTGGTTCAACCGAGCCGAATCCGTCGGTTCAACACAGTCCATTTAATTCTTTGAAAAAAAAATAGTTAAATTATACAAAATTTATAACTTTGAAATAGGTTTGAATTATCCTCCATCGTTCAAAACAATCTTAGAATAGAACACATTTTTGGTTCATAAGGGTTAGATTTCTTCAAAAACTAACAGTCCAACCTTTTAAAACGGCGGAATCGAGCAACCAGTTGGATGGAAACCACTCTCCCAGTCTTGTTTCAACAAGAAATTCCAGCCCAATCTGAAGGGTTTAAAAGTAGAACCCACCCAGCATGAAAAATTCTGGTCCATCGCCGAGAATCCAACCAATTTCCCTAAAACCCCAAAGTAACAGCAGGCGAACAATTCGAAAACTACACACACTGTTAAATAGAAAACCCATCTGCCTGATTGGGAGATTATGCCTCCTATCACACAGCAGAGAATGAGAGAGAGACTTACGAGTAGAAGTAGCAGCAAATGGAATCTTGTTTGAAGCTCGTAGTGGAGTGGAAGAGGGATTCTTATTCTCTCGTGGATGCCCAAGATCTCCTCGCTGAAGAAACACCAATTCCAAACGAAGTGAAATTTCCGTTCTTTCAACTTTGCCTCCTCAATTTCATTTTCATTTTCATCTTCAATCTCGATTCCGCCGTGTTTGGCCTGTTTCATCCGCCTTCCGACCGTTGATTTGAGTCGGAATCGGCGTCCTGCCTCACCCTTGCTCTTCGATGGTCATTTGATTTCCATGGGAATGTTGGAGTAATGGTATGTTTTCGAAAGATTATAAAAATGAAAATTAATAATTAATAATTAAATATTTTACACTTAAATAAGTTTAAAGTAACTAATATTAATATTACGACTAATATTTTTCATATTTTTACGATTTTTTTTTGTAATATTATAGAAATATTGATTTACTTCTCGCATTTATGTCACTCATCGATACATAGAAATGTCACCATCTTGATAGAAATTTAAATACAACGAAATATCTTCTCAATTTTTTTTATGAACAAACTCAAACGTCACATCATTTAAAATTATTACATAAACAAATGTCACTTCATCTCTCAAACTCTCACACGTTAGCATTTCATTATAGTTTAACTCCAATGACTTTTTTAAAACCATTTTCTAAAGGTTTGGAACATGAACGGTTAGTTTTTTAAAACCAAAAGTGTTTTTTAAAACCAAAAGTGTTTTTTACCCTCTACTTTTAAAATTATTTCAAAACAACCATTATGTTAGTTTTTTTTGGTTAAAAATAAATTAAAACTGTGTTATGATGGGGTGAAGAAAATAGGGAAAATTGACAAAATAAGCGTTCTACAGTTTTCTAATCACCCTCTTCAAAACATAAGTTTTTTAGTCACTGCTGACATCACATACTTTATCAAATGACATTTGGGTTTGGGAAATTTGACTCAATAGGCGTTCTGTAGGACCTTTTTTGTTTTTTAAGCGCCCTTCTGAAAACAAAAGTTTTCTAGTCATTTAATAATATGAAATTACATATTTACCCTTCTTTCACTATTTCTCTATCTCATTTTTCAATTTTCTCTCCCTATCATTATTATTTCTCTTTCTCGTTCTTCAACTTCTTCTCTCCCTATCTTTCTTTCCCATTTTTTCTCTTTCATTATTATTTCTCTTTCTCATTCTTCAACTTCTTCTCTCCCTATCTTTCTTTCTCATTTTTTCTCTCCATCATCTCCCTTATTTTTCTAGAGTTATACACAATCTGCCACTTTCTTGTTCCCTCCCACTTTCTTGATTTAAGGGAAGTTTAGATTTTTCAAAATATTTAGCAAATCTCATAAAAGACGATGACGAGGGAGGAGATGTTGCTGGCACAAACGTGAGACCCACCGTCGAAGAAGAATATCACCGGAAAACGCCTGGAGGGGGAGAGGAAAGAACGGGAGAGAGCGAGAGATGAGGGAGAGAGGGAAGAACGAGAACGAGGGAGAGCGAGAGATGAGGGAGAGAGAGAAGAACGGGAGAGAGGGAAGAAAGAGAATTGAATTTCTAATTTAATTTAATTACTTAAAAATCTATTTATAGAACGAATAATTATGGAATAAATTTCACAAATTATTGAATTAATTATTAATCTAAATAATTATTAATAAAATTTGGTTAATTTAAATGAAATCATAAACAAAATTAAATGTAAATAAATAAAATGTTGGGTAAAATTCAAATTCAAAATTATTATCAAATAATTTAAGAGATTAAAGATTTTTTAATTAAAAATTTGAAAATTAGAATTAAAGAAAATAGAATCTCAATCTCATTTTAGTGTATTCATATTCAAATTTGAAATTTAAATCAAATTTGTTTAATATTTTTTTCTTCCTCCTTAAAATCTCTCCTTTAATCTCCTAAATTAATAAAACTCAAAGCAAACTTAAAATCAAAACTAAGATCACATCTTAAAATTACGTTTAATAATTAAATTTTCTAAGAAAAGATTGAGAAGAAATTTAAGGAAACAAATTTAGATTAAATTTTAAATTTGAATACCAAATTATTGGAGATTGAGATTCCAATTTAGATAACGTTTTATCTCAATTTTCTCTCACTCCCTCATTTTTCTCGCTCTCTCTCGCTCAACTTTCTCTCACTCCCTCACTTTTCTCTCTCTCTCGCTCAACTTTCTCTCTTTCTCTTTTATCTCCTTCCTCATCCACATCCCCAAAGGTTAGGCTGAACTTTCTTCTTCCTTGAGCTTTCTTCTTCGGCAAACGACCTCCCTCGTCGATTTTGATGCACCCGTCCGGAATCATGGAGGCTGCTCGTTAAAAAGAAAAGAAAAAAAGAGAGAAGGTCGAGAGATTTAGGGTTTTTTTAGAGTAAAGAAGAAGGGAACGAGAAACCCAAGAAAATTTTAGAGAGGATGAGGGAAAAAAACCCACAGCGGAAGAGAGAAAGAATGAGTTAATGAAAAATGATAGAAGAAAAAAAATACAGTAAAGAGAGAGAGAAATAGAGGGGGAAAAGGAGATAAGAGAGAGAAAAGTGGAAAAAGGGTAAATACATAATTTCACATCATCAAATGCTTAGAAAACTTGTGTTTTGAAAGGGCAATTAGAAAACTTAAAAGGCTCTACGGAATGTCTATTCCCTCAAATTTCCCAACTTCCAACCCTTAAAATTATTTCAAAAACCATTTCGTTAACTTTTCTATTAAAACAGAGACAAAAATAAGATTGACAATGAGTTGTAGAAATAGAGCTTACATGTTGGTGCAAATGGTAGCCAAACGAGTCTTAGTCACATTCGAAATGACTTCAATTAGAAAATGGGCAGAGATTAGGTCATATTTTTAGTCAAAATTGCATTGTTTAGAGAAGGAAGTCATGCAAAAAAAAGTCATAGATTAATAAAAGTAAAAGCTACACATTTGTAAAGTTGAAGCAAAGTGAGATGAACACATAAAGTTTTGCGAGAAAAATATATTCATGGAATAAAAATTATAGAATGATAAGAATTCATAGAAAGCATGAGTTCGTGGAAGTGAAGATAACAAAGAGAAAAAAGGGATTGACTAATGAAGGAGGTAGTTTCTATCGTCAAAGGTAAAAAAGAATGTAAAGGAGCGACCGTGTTTCTTAAATTCCATTATCTTTCATTTCTTTGTTTGTCTCCTCATCTTTCCATTCATATATTAACGCTAATTTTCTTCCATTCAAATGTTGCCATTTTCGAATGAAAACTAGTCTTTTAATTTTTTCACAACTTTTCGATACATAAGTTTTATATATTTTAATAAAGAAGCTAACAAAAGAATTATTTTGATAAGTTTCAAAATTAAAAGAACAAACTAAATATTAGAATTATAATGAAAACTTACTAAAAAGTTTAGTGTTGTAATTGAAAACTCGGTCACCTCATCATATTATTAGTTTTTAGTGGTGCGAGATCTCACAATCTTTTTGGTTGAAGATATATGTCAATTATCATTCATCTACGCTCGTTTTAACTGAATAATTATTTTAAAACAATTTTAAAATTTAATGGTTGAAATCAAACTTTAAAGGAAAAAAAAAACATAATTAAAACTTACTCTAGTGAAGAGTCTTTTGTATAATTTAGGAAAAAATATTTGAGCCCAATTTTAAGTTAGGTTTCAGATTTGCCACAGAGAGAAGAGAAAGGGCGAGTGCCGCCATTTCCCGCTTCCAAAAACGTAGCAGAGGCGGCGACCGGCGAAGCGGCGGCGAAGAGGGTGGCCACCGGCGAGAGACGAACGGCAGAGAAGGCGGAGGCTCAACCCTATCGACGAACGAATCATTCCTCTCGAACAGGGAGCTGCCAAATGTGATTCTTGAGATTCTTCTAGCTTCCATGGAGATCTCAGGCCTTCCCCGTAAGCTCCGCAATTTCTCGAACCCTTACTGTATTTACTCATTTTCTTCTCAATCTCCATATCCCTCATGCTCGACCTTTTCCCATCCTAGAACCCTAGCCACCCCCACCGATCCATCCTCTATAATTTTGTTCAATTTCAGTCCATTTTATTCCATATCAGCATCCGATTCTGCTGAATCTCCAATCAACGCTGCTGGTTGTTCATTAATCTGCAATGCAATTTCGCATTCTGCACCTTCATTATGTTTGTTTGGGAGATGTAATGGCGGAAGATTGGATTTGAATCTTGGATTGCTTCAACGGCGTTCCTACACAACCTGCCGCTCATTCTTGTCCTCTTCGTTTAATCAGCCGACTTCCACGGAGAAGCCCCAATGTGGGACTGGTAATTTAGATGTGTCTAAACCGAATGCGAGGCAGAATCAATTTTGGGATATTATCAAAATCATTCGGAGAAATGAGGAGGATTTGGAATCCAAGTTGAATTCGTTGAATTTAAGTTTAACTAATGTTTTAGTTGCTCAGATTTTTCGGGTGCTGAATAACGATAAGGTTTCTGCCTTTCGTTTTTTCAACTGGATTAGGGTTCAGTCGTGTAAATTTCCTGGTAACTCTGATGTTTATAGTCTACTTATTGATAATTTTGGTAGATTAGATGATTATGAGGGGATGCTTCCTGTTTTGACTGAATTCAGGCGGAAAGGAATTGATCTAAACCACAAAGCATTTGTGTTTTTACATGTTCAGTTATCAAATGAAGCTTCGATTAAGATTTCTGTAGAAAGAGTGATCAAGTTATTGAATGAAGTAGGAGGATCCTGTCGAATTTCTGGGGTCATGTCATTGATTGAGATGTTCTGTTCTTTTGGTTCTTATGGAATGGCGAAGTTTGTAATCGAGATAACCGAGAGAAGGGCGTCTTTCTACAACATCATTGTCCGGGAACAATGTCGCCGAAACGATTTTGAAGGAGCTAGATGTACACTCAATGAGATGAGGCAAGTGGGTTGTAGCCCTGATGTGGGAATTCTCAACTATCTGCTCAGTTGTTTGTGCAAGAATGACAGATTTGATGAAGCGCAGAGTATGTTCGAAGCAATGCTCCAACAAGATTGTCCTCCGAATTCGTTGACATTCGAAGTCATTATTTGCCACTTGTGTGAAATTGGTAAGATTGAATCAGCACTCAGCTTTCTTGACATGATGGTGTCAAGGGGTCTCGAGCCTCGCCTTTCGACGCACGCTGCCTTTGTGAAAAGCTACTTCAATTCCCAGAGATACGAGGAGGCATATCGGTATGCCGTTGATTCTAGCTCCAAACATGCCACGGCACAAAATGCAACCTATAGCTTGCTTGCAACTCTTCATGAGAAGAGAGGAAACTTAGTTGATGCTCAAAAAATTCTGTCTGAATTGATAGATGCAGGTCTTAGACCAAACTTTCCAGTGTATACGAGAGTTTTCAAGAAGCTCCAGCTTCAAGGCAAGGAAGATTTGGCCAACGATCTGAAGGGCAAATTCTCTATTGTAAGTTTTCAATGTGGCATTCAAACTGGATGATGAGCTTCCTTTTTTTGAATCTTTACTTATGGAATTAAAGTGTTTATGGAAGTCTGGTGCCTGTTTTGATTTCATTGTGCTGATTTTGAATGCCAAATTGGAGTAGAAAATAAATAAAGAGCTCAGTAGTATGTTTATTGTTTAGTATACTAAGAAGGGGCTTACAAGCATGTTTTTTTTAATAGAATGTTATTCATTATTTTTTCTCTTTAGAAATTTTTTTGGACATTGTTTACAATTGTCAAAAGATCACTATTTGCAAAAGAAGTGTCAGAAATTTGATCAATATGGTTATTGATTGTATTTTGAGACACTCTTGCAAAGTAGCAAGGAAAATTGTGCAACTGTTATTATTTTTTTGATAACCCAACTCCACTGAGGAGACATTTGACTCAATTTTAATCAAAGAGAAGAGGTTTTTTTCCCCTCTTTTTAAAGAATGTAGCATTAGGTCATGGGATGGAGATTTGAACATTTGACTTTTCGGGAAAGTTATAGATATCTTAATCGTTGAATTTTGTTTAGGTGGGCTAGTGACTCAATTTTAATAAGTTTAGATTTGTGTAACACAAAGTTAGAACGTCTGAATTTATGTAGCTTAGGTATGAATTATGTGAAAAAATATTAGTTATAGATTTTTCTTTTTAGTACAACAATTTGAGAATTTGGGATTGAACTTTCAACCTCGAGGGAAGGAGTGCGTGCTAATTTACCATTGAGCTATGTTTGACTATTAGTTATAGAAATTTGAGCTTATGAAGTCTAAGAATGAGGGTTTTTTGGTTTTGGTATGCCATTGAATTCTATTTTTTATTTTTAGATAGTGAATATAGTATATTGGTTTTTTGAAAACTATTTAGAAACTTAAAAATGTAGAATTACATTTAAAAAAAAAGATAAAATTTATTATAAATATATTATTTTATTATATATTTTTTTTTGTTAAAATTAAAACGTTTGTATTATAATTATATTATATTATAAAAAGTTTATAACATATATGTTAATAAATTAATTAATAATGTTTTAGATCCAACTAAATATTTAGTTAATAAGGTGGCTATCTCCTTAAATAAACAATTATGTTTTTCTTTTATTTCTCTTTCATATATCTAACATTATAAAATGAAATTATTTGTCACATTGTTTTCTTTGGCTGCCCAAGCAATTTCTCGAAGTTTTATGGTATTGGAATTTATATAGTTCTTAAAGTTTAGTTGCAAGTTGGTCCCTCTGATTTTAGAAGTGTTTGTTTGTTCTTTATGATTCGATGATTTCAATTTGATTCCTACAATTTTGTTAAAACTTATCTACCTAAAAAGATCTATCTATTTCCTTTTAGTTTTTAAAATCAAACCTAGATCGTAGTACAAAACATCAGCAATGTTAGCTCATTGCTATTAAAAAAATGTCAGTGGTAGCAGTAGAGATGGTCATTACCGAGGTAAGGACCCCAACTGTTTGTAACTGTGTGACCAACTCTCAAACAGTTTATCAGAACGGTTATATGTGATCCACCACGTGACACCCTATAAATAGGAACATCCCCTGTGAATCCAAGTACTCAATCTGATTCCACCTTAGATTGGGTTCTTACTAAAGTGTTGGAGTGTGTCTATTTCCGTCTTGCAAGTCTTTTCTCACTTAGCTCGTCCCGGACAGTTCGGCCATATATATTTTACAAAAGTAAAACGTGGGTTTTTGTTTTGGGATGGAAGACTTTAATTTGAATCATAAAATAATCCCTGAGTCAATTTTGAATCTGCATGCAATGTTTTCTTTTTCAATAGAATTGGTAAATGGAAAGTCAAAGGTTTGACCTCTTCGAATACTCATGCTTATGCTAGCACATGGAATGGGACCTCAAATGGCGAGACCTCCTAAACCAGTCTCTTTTTCTTAGATAAAATAAAATATATGGCTCTTTTTTTCTTAATTTTAAATCACAATTGATTTTTGGTGATATTATTAGCGTACACACGAGATTTTGAGAGAAATTATATTTCGTGGGGTGAACTTTGATTACAAGTCTTCAATTCGATGATGTGTGAATTTTCTCAATTATGAAATTCTGAAAACCCAATTCTTCAAGTGGATTTAGATTTATTTAAATTTAAATATCAATCAACCATAACGGTCTTATGGTAATTTGGATTTTGGGTCAAAATACCGTCTAATGAATTTGTGAACTAAATTAATTCCATACCCAATTTTGAATAACTCAATTCACCACCAATTAGATCCAATCAAAAGGGCCAATGAAAGACACCTGGTATTTGGAATTGCCATTTTTGTCTTGGTTTTAATTTAGGGATAATTTATAATTGTCCCAAATTTAATGAAATATAGTTTTGTCAACAATGACATGGCCGTTTATGATTGACAAAAAATTTATGGTTCTACAATTAGATTTTTGACAAAATATTAGAAGAGCGAAAATTTCACATATGAAACGGTACAATGAAGTGACGTGCTCAAATGTTACAAAAGAAAGCTCATGTTTTGTGTTTCAAGTGTTACAAAAAGGCTCATAACTTTGAGTTTTATTCATCAAAATTAAAAACGACTTTTTAAGGACTAGTATACTAACCCTAGTTGGGTAAGTGTCAAAGCGAGAATAGCTCAGCGGTAATTGACATATACCTCCAAACAAGAAATTGTGAGTTCGAATTCACACCCAAATGTTGTAATTTCATAGAGGACTTCTTTAATTTTGTATTTAACAGATCTTTCTAAATTTTCAATTTTGAAACTAATCGGTCATTAACNAAAAAACCCTAGTTGGATAAGTGGTATAAAGTTTTGAGAATTTTTCTTAATTGGGGTAGATGTGTTTTTTTCATAAAAATTCATGAGTTGTCAATTTTCAACCGTGGTGATAGGTCAAGTCAAGTATTTTTTTAATAATTTTTAATTTTGTTCATTTTATTAAAAAAATAATTAGAATAGCATGCGGTAACTATTTTTTTGGCTTCTTGTTCTCTCAATTATTATTTATTTTATTTAATTTGGGAAAGACCTTGGAAGGAAGCTTCGGATTATCAAGTTCTCCCAAAAGTCACATTGATTTGGCCCACCCTCAACTTCAAGTTTGGGCGGCTGAAACAGTTACACCAATTGAACTGTTTCCCTCCACCTACCCTTGCACTAACCATTCCCCCACAAATATATTCCTCAAAATTTTCAAATTACAAGGAGCACCGTCCTAATTTTAGGGGACATCTGTCTAATCCTACGATATTTAATGTCGAAAAGTTATATAAAATTAGTTTCTAAGTAGACAATTTACCTTACTATATTTGGACCAATGAACCACCTGTAATTAATTATCATAACTTCAAACTTTATCATATAATATTCATTAAATACACCATTATATTTTCTTCAAATATAACTCTACATTACAAATATGGAAATACAGATACTAATAATAAAAAGTTTCCCATGTTGCAATTTTCGTATTAATATACATCTCTATCCATTTTTCGCCTTACTCCTAAAAAAGAAAAAAATTGAACAATATTTCTCTATTAATTCCTATTTTCTCGACGGGAGGAGAGAATGTATAATGAGGGCGTACTTCATAGAACAACATGGATTAACAGCTACCCAATTGTTATCTCTATTCACTCATAAAATCCAAATACACTCCAATTTTATATATAATATGCAGTAATTCATTTAATTTCTTCAGTGGGGTTTCAGTGTTTCGTTTGTCACACACTGATTCAAACACTTGGCAAATTTTTGTGATCATTTCCTATCTTAAATTAGAGTGTACTCAGTAGATTTTTAGAGTGAAATCAATAGAGATGACAATTGGATAGCTGTTAGCTCCGTGCACATGTAAGAGAAATGAGGGTTGAGTAGTAAAATATTTCTATTGTCCCGTTAGCAAAGATATATCGGTAAGCGCCTAAGTCCATTAGTTGAATTGACATATTTCTCGACCAAGAAGGTAAGAAGAAGTTCGAATCTCCAACTTGGAATGTTGTTTAACTATATATTAGAGAGAGCTGATTCTCAAGAAAAAATTAAGAGTCGAATGTATTAATTATCATATAAATTTGGTTAATAATTTAGCCGAAAAAAGAAGGCGTAAATAATGAAGAGTTAAGAATCCCAAATGGATTGATGGCGCACGTCTTCCCACTGTTCATCAAAATGATCATATAAAAAAATGGAGTCTTCCTCCGAACTAAGCGCCTCAGCCATCTGCATCCACATGGTCGGAGAATCCAACGGCGAGTCATTGATGGCCTGAATTTGGCTCGGCGACAGCCCCACCCGAATCGGCGCGGCCCCGACGCTAACGGCGGAGCATGCTCCTGCGGCGTCGGGGGTCCTCTTGAGGTACAATGCGGCGAGCTGGGCAGCGGTCTGAATGTCTTCGGGATTGGAGCTGGCGGGCCTCGGGAGGGCGTCGACGAGGTCAGGGAAGTTGAGGCGGGCGTCGGGGCCGCGGAGGTGGAGGGCAGCAACGTCGTAGGCTGCAGCAGCCATCTCTGGGGTGTCATAGCTGCCGAGCCAGATTCTGGTCTTTTTTCCCGGCTCGCGAATCTCGGAAACCCATTTGCCCCATTTACGCTTACGGACGCCTCTAAAGGCGGCTGTGCAGGTGGTGGCTTCCATGGAGATCGAGATCGAGGTCGAGAGGGAGATGGAGATGGAGAGTGGGTGTGTGTTGGGAGAGTGGGAGTGTGGGGGTGGGTTTATATAGAGGATGGAGGGTGTGAAGAGATAATAAAAAGAGAGAAAATTTGGAAAGGGAGAGAAGGGGGGTTTCTACGTAGCTTCAAAGTGGAAAGATGCTGTCATTTGGAATGGAAACACACGTTTGTTATATTTGGTAATTTCTATTCCCTTTGCTTGCATGGGTCAAACCATGCCACGTGTTTTCCTTCTCTTTTCAACCTTTTTTTGTTGTGTTTTTTTTTTCAAAATTTCGTTGATGCGTAATTTTGGCACATGTGTAAACTTGGTTGGTGTCAGATTTGAGGTGGAGGGTGATAACTTCGTTGGAGTGGTGGCCTACATATAGAAAATTCTTATGGTGGGTGCTGTGCTCGACACATATTCTGATGCTTAAATTAGTGTGTGATCAAAACAGTATTGAGCTAATTAACAAAAATGATGTCACTTATACTTGTTTCCGAAAGGGCAATTATTATGTTATTTATAGAGAATTTGAGGATGTGACTTATGGGTTCCATGGTTTTGTACTCCTTCACCAAGTCGATGGTTCCAAGCTAAGGTGTTTGCTCAGGACCCCTCGAACCTAGATTGTGCTCTCCACGCGGCTAGGAGTTGTTTGACCATGTGGACATGGCCACTTTTAGCATGTGGCGGGGTGCTTTGCTTATCACTGTTAGATTTCATGTTTCGTTACTGTTTAGTTTTATGTCTTTTAAAAGGTTAAATATATGTTTAGTGTTTTGGTTGGCAAAGGTTTAAGGTCTTCTAATCGTACTGATTTTAAAGTCGTTAGTTCACGTATGCGGTATAATATACTTTAGTAAATTGGCAACAATTTAAAGAAGGAAAAAAGTTTATCAAGAGAAAGAAAACTTGAAATTTCTATCCATTTAAGTTCATCAAGAGAATAATTGATCGAAGGATTATGCCATGTAAGTGTTTTCTTTCTTAGTAATTTATTTTATTTTAAGATTTTTTTAATGAAAATTATTGATTTGTTTATTGAATAAATTGTAATATGATTTTGCAAACAAAGGACGGCAACAATCATTTTCTAAAAATTACAGAGACTAAATTTTATATTTTAAAAATATAGAGGTGAAAATAAAATTCAAATCTTTGAAATATTTGGGTTAAAATTCAATTTTAAATAATCTTTATGAACCTTTTTAATAATTCGGAATCAATGCAATGTAGCTTAATTATGGCCACTAATTCCTATAACTGGCACCTGCGTGCACTCTAAAATCTTGACTCGAGAAACATGGAGAGTTTATTGTAAATCTCCAAATGCTTGATTTAAACTCTAAAAATTTGTCCTTAAATTTGTAATTTCATCGCTTAAAACTCTAAAATTTAATAAACATTGCAATTAATATCTCTTAAAAAATTAAATTTAAAAACTGTCTACGAAACAACCAATAAATCATACAAAAATTCAAACTTACAAAACAAAGTTGATATCAAGAAATACCCAAACTTCACCTTTTCTTCGTGGCTTATCAATTACTTAGAAAATGTAATCCGCGTGACACCTATATTTTACCTTAATAAAAGCATTATTTCCTTAAAAAGAAGGAAAAAAAAAACTCAAAACTTCTCTAGCCAGAAAATCGAGTAAATAAATTAGAAAAAGACACTCAAACTTAGAGAGAGAAAAAAAGTGTAGATCCAACCAATTAGAAAGCGTCCAATACGCCAAACATGAGTGTAGTTCAGCGGTAATTGACGTACATTCCTTTTCTGGAGGTTCAATCTCCCATATATCCCTAAAATGTTGTACTAAAAAAAAGAAAGGTCCAAGAACTAATACTTACGAAAATAACCTTATCCAACCATAGAGATCTCATATCTCATCATAAACCGCTATAAAAAAAATTGAAACTTATTAAGGTTTATTATTGTCAACGTTGGTTCTCGTTTCTCATTGTTTATTTACTCTTTCATCCGTATTATGCATTCTATGGGTAAAAGTGATAAAATAATTAGAAATGAGAAATAGTAATAGTTATCAAATGCTTAATTATATTTCTACAAAAACGAGAAACAAGAAACATGAATTACTCTTTCATCCGTATTTCATCCGTATTGTGTATTCTATAGGTAAAAGTGATAAAATAATTAGAAATGAGAAATAGTAATAATTATCAAATGCTTAATTATAATTCTAGAAAAACGAGAAACAAGAAACATGAATCATGTATATAGCGAGAAACGAAAACATTATATTACCATAAATGATCCCTCAACTAAAGTATTAATTTTAATTTTACAAGTAGTTCAAGTATAAGATTTAAATTGCAATAATACTCATTTCAAGTTCAAGATTTAAATCGATAAAATTGGAAGTTTAAAGTTGGACTCACTCACTTAACTTTAGGGATTTTAATTAAGATTTTCTCTAATATTAGTCAAGATTCATGTTTGGTAATGTTTTAATTTATGAGTCTTCTTATTGATTTTTTTTGTTAAAATACTATTTTGTCCCTCATACTTCCAGTTTATGTTTATTTTGGTTCCTATACTTGCGATTTTGATTTATTTTAGTCCCTACACTTACAAAATATTCGTTTTGGTCCATATACTTTGAAAAGGTAACCATTTTGGTCTCTTGATTTTATTTTTAATCTTATTTTTTCAATCACAATTTTAACATAATATCATAGTACTCAATATATTTTTTTAAATGTAACAATGACTTTATATTAAAGAATTTTCATTATGCGTAAAATTTATGTTAAAGTTTTGTAAATGGGACCAAAATGGTCGCTTTTTTAAAAGTACAAGGACTAAAACTAACAAGAGTTAAAAATATAGGGTCTTAAATTAATATTTTGAAAGTACATGGATCTAAATGAACCTAAGCTTAAAGTAAAAAGACCAAGATAATATTTTAACTTAAATATTTTGTTTTCTTATAAATAATAATTAAGTTTTATAATCTCTTAAAAAAAATAATAATTAAGTTTTATGAACCATAAAATTAGTCTTTAAATGGAAATTGGACTGATATTTCATAACCGTTTTTGAAATCGTAGCAAAATTCAAGAAGCTACACAAAGATTATTTTTATTTTTTTAGTAATACAAAGATAGTTTTAAGAGATTTATTCTTTCTAAAATTTAACCAAGATTTCTAAAATGTTTTTAGAAGGTGAAAAATTAAACGAAATAAAAAAATAGCCTTTTGGTCCCTCAAAGCTTAATTTTCATTTGGTCTATAAATTTTGAAATATTACACATTTACTTCTAAGTTTTGAGATTCGTTTTCATTTAGTCTCTAAATTTTGAGTTTAATTTTCATTTAGGTTCCTAAATTTATCCATGAGTTTTTTGAGTTTAGTTTCTATTTGATCATTCGGTTTCAAAATGTTAATGTTTTTACCTCAAAATTTCACTAATGCTTACTTTTGATCTCTGGCCTAAATAAAATAATCATTAGTAACCCTACTCGCACATAGACGAAGTTATTTAATATTAAAAATATTTATTTTACTATTTTTCTGCCACGTCAGCTATTGAATATTTATAAAAATATAATCTTATCACGTAAGTATATAAATTGATGTTAAATAATGGATCGGTCAAAATTTTAGTAACGATTATGTTAGTCATAGACCCAAAAGTGAGTATTAACTAAAATTTTAGGGTAAAACTTTTATACCGTGAACCTTTATAATAAATATGGAAACTAAATTTAAATCTTAGGATTTTGAAGCAGGACCAAATAGAAACTAAACTCAAAATTAAAAGAAACCTAAATAAATATTATTAGTTAAGTTAGTGTTTGTTTGTTTGATTTGTTTTGTTTTATTTTGTTTTTTTTTTTTTAAAATTAAAAAGAAAAGCACTGTTGTTGATGTCAGAAAGGGCAATTATTGGATGTGGATGAAAGAGGACTACGTACAAAGTATCTCATTAAAGATAGAGAGACAAAAAAAGGATAAAATTTTCAGTACTCAAAACTGGATTGTACTTTTGCAGATATATGCAACCCTTTTCCATACATTCACAAATTTCTTTTTCAATCATTCTATACATCTTGCTTTAAATTCTACACTAAATATATGTTTTCAACTTTTAATTGGAGAATATATATATATATTATAATTTAGTCGTTATTCTGTCTCTCAATTTCTATTATTATTTTTCGATACTCATAAATGTCTAAATCAACTTACAAGCATCTTGACTAATTTTGTGGGACAACTGTATATCCCTCCTATATTTGGTTGTCAAGAAAATATACAAGAAATTAGTTTTTAGGTAGGTGGCCATCATGGAATTTGAACGGATTGTGTGTCTTATATTTTAAGATGTTTTAATTTAGTCTCTCACTGATCACTATTGGTAAATATTAAAATTAGTTCATAATAAATTTACATTACAACATATTTAGACGAATAAAAGAGGTCATTTAAAATGAGAAAAGTTTCCAATTCCTTCTCCATATTTTTAAGAAACTAGTAGAAATTTCAAGCTTTCTCCCCCAAATTTTTACCAATTCACACTGTTTGGTGGAAGAAATTGTTACGCCACGTGGAAGGGAGGGCAGAGATTCGTCGAAAGTAGGCTTGTACAAATTGGAAGCTCCACCTCAAACCGACCGAGGTGAGAGACTTGGCCATTTTTAGCACAATTTCATACTTATTAAACGGTTCGACCTGCTCGGATTCAACCTGAGTGACCCGACAGATTCGATCTGCAAACCGACAAAGATAACTGTCATCGGTCGTGAGGTCTATTGGACCCCATGCCTATAAATAGAGGGTAGGTATCGAATTTCATATTGAGTCCGAACTGTTACTGACCTGAGCGTCGGAGATTTTGTCCTCTTGTGCAGGTCTTCCCCTCATGTTTGAAGTTTGAAGATTGGATCGAGTTCGACCTTGACTAAAGTTTGATCTTGTACATTTCTTTGCATAAACACACACAAAGTATTATGTCACGTGAATTCATTCAGCCAATTTAAACAAT